GTGAGGCATTATATTATTATGTTGGTATGTTGGTATTAGTGATGGTTAAACAATTTTGAAAAATCCTTTGTAGTACAAAGGATCACTTGGCCAAAAATTTTTACCCACATCGGCATATGACTTTAAAACTTTACTCAATATGTTCATATGATGTTTTATCCGCAAAAAATTATGATTCCCAAATTTTCATATGACCTGGGCAAAAATTTTTTAAAAATTTATCCTTTTTGGAAACTGAATAGCGCAATGAACGCAGTATAGTACCCGTGAATAATAATCTGCGGTGAAAGAGAAGTGTAACCCGCAATTCTTTTTTTTTCATATAAAATTTTTTAATTCATACAGAAACACACACAATAAATAATATTAATTTTCCTATTCCCCAATGTTATAATTACTTTTTTTGTCAGTGTTAGTATTATTAACATTATAGGTTAAGGAATTTGAAAAACCTTCAAGCGTAGTGCCAAGCTTTTCTAAAGTAACATGTTTTGTGGCAAACTTGATTTGGGAAAAATAAAAAGAAAATATTAACATAAATAACATAAATAACCTTAATTATAATGTCGTACAAAAGTTAAGGCGTTGTTTCTCAGGAGAAAATCTATCTTTCTTTAACCATTGTTTACCGATAAGGTAATTGAAGTTTTTGTAATAAATGGATGAATTTTTGCTCAAATCTGAAATTTCAGATTTTTTATCTCAAAAAAAAAAAAAAAAACTTCATCCTTTCTTTATATGATAAATATAAATTATTTTTTTACGTATTATTTATTTTCGAATAACCTATTTATTAAAAAAAAAATTTTTTTTATTTCAACCGTATTTTATCGAAAGTGAATTAGGTGAAAAAGTGGAGGAAAAAAAATATGCCTAGAGGAAAAAAAAAACCTACTCGTAAAAACGTTACAACTGCTTGTCTAGAATGTAAAAAGAGTAAAACCAAGTGTACTGGAAACACTCCGTGTGGGAATTGTACAAAGAGAGTCATGAATAGGTGTAAAGCTTGTAAAAATAATATTAAAGATACAGATATATCCAAACTTGAAGCTTGTGGCAAATGCAAAACTCAAGCAAGCAAATCTTGTGAATTTCCACAAGAAAAACCCAGGCGTGGGCCACCACCTAGGCAAACGAATCAAAAGGCAATAAATTGTATCACTATCAATAGAATTGATAATAGTGACAACAACAACAACAACAACATTATATCTAACAACGATAACAATGTTCCCGTCTCACCTTATGAGTCAAGTACTGCCACTTTTTCACCGAATTCTAACTTTTCTCCCTTCCTCCCCCCCTTACCCTTATCCTTTCCTTCATCACCACCAGATACCCCATTCGATATCAAAGATAAAAATATCTTTGGTGAAGGAATGTTGTTCGATTACACTAAAGGATCAATGAATATTGAGGAATATAATAGTGTAAATGATGACTCGTTGTTCAGCGAGTTTATCATTTTCGAAGAGCCAATATCTGGTAAGTTTCTTTGTTTTTTAATTGAAAAACAAATCTTTTGTTGCTTTTTTATTAAACGCTTTTAAATAAATTCTATGTTCAGATGACAATAATAACGATGATATTGATAATAATAATAATGGTGATGATAATAATAATGGCGGTAATAATAACAAAGAAGAAGATGATAAATTATCATCAACGTCAACAATATCGACGTCAACAATACCAACGGCAACAATGCAAATACCAACAGATACAGCAATTATACCAGGAGTTGCTACTGAAGATGATAATAATAATAATTATTATTATTATTGTGATCAACAACTTCCCCATGATCCCGTTTATATTTATATTTTCCAACCACACGATTATACTCTTTACGAGCACCTTCCAAGAACAGAAATGGTAAGTTAATTAATTTCTAATTTGTTCCTGAATTATTATTTTTTGTTATTCATTTAGTTTTCAATATTATTGACAACAGTTTTTTTTAAATAATTATCAGGACCTATTATTGGGTCTCTCTCAAGCACCACCAAGTATCATTGTCCCCCTAGAGGGGCAATACACCGCAGGCACGCAATAGGCATCGCAACACGGAAAATGACGAGTTATGAGGAACTTTATCGAATTTTTTTGCAATCCTGTAAGTTAGTTATATGTGTGTGTTTTATTGAATGAGTATCATACATGTATATATATAATAACAGATTTTCATCTTCTATTCATAAAAATAGTAGATAATAGGGATTACGTTGAATTATTTATTTTTTTAACATTATTATGTCACTATTATTATTATCATCATCATTATTATTATTATTATTATTATCATCATTATTTATCATTAGCGCATTTATTAAATGTAAAGACACTTTTTTACTATTTTATATTATTTTTATACTATATAATAACTAAATAGCAATAAAATAATAATTTATTATTATTTGCAATTCCTTGGTAGAATAATTTTATGGCAAGCTAATAAACAAAAAGTAAAAAATCGTCACATTTTCTTCTACCACGATTGTATCGTGATATTAATAAGGACTAAGTGGGCTTCTCTTGTGTAAATTCTTTTTGCAAATTGGATAATTATAAACGTTCATCGTGCATCACTAAATTCTTTGATTATTAAGGATATGTGTAATGTCGAACGTGTTGGAACCAGCCAATACATCAAATTTAGATGCTATATCAGGTTGTATTTCTTGATGATAAAAGAAATTATGGTCAGCCATGTTTATTATTTCACACGTACACATACAAAATAAATAAATATTGGCTGGAACTTTCGAACGTGTTCCCTAATCCCTCCTCCTCCGTTTACCAATTGTCCATCTTTTTCTTTAGCGTAAAAATAAACTAAACCTTTAGTTCGAATTTCCAATAGACAAAAAAAAACATCCGATAAGCAATCATTTATTACTCCATACAGCAGCCCTGCTTGTCAGGATCGTGCAAATCTAGAGGTTGGAATCGTCCAAAAAAATCCTTAGCCGACTAAATTTTTTTTTTAATTTACAAATTACGAATTCATTTCAAAATAAATCCACACAAAACCATGTGTTACGATTCGTTTTTTTAAAGGTCTCCTATATAGAACCACCGCTTAAATCATTGGAACTTGAAGCCAATGAACCATTAGACCTTGTATCAGAAGTATTTATTCGTTCACATGTAAAATTATCATCAACAACACCACCATTATTGTCGTCATCTTCATATTGATGGTATTAATACTCTTCCGCATAGAAATTTTCCATTTTGAATAATAAAACACAAAAATCGTAATTGGCCAGACAATAATAATATTAACATAGTATTAGTATTAGTATTAGTAGTATTAGTAGTCGACTATTAGTTGTTCAAAAAAAATGATTTTGGTGCATTGAATCGATTCTTGACAAAGACTCTTTAACTAACTGATCCAGAGTGAAATTGCTTCGATCGGATCTTTTTCGTATAAATCGTGTTTGGTATCCAATATTAAATCTTCGCTTTGTAAAGATTTGACCATGTTTCTTCTCTATACGTTATACGATTTTATTAAGGTCTATTTCTTCAAATTCGATTAGTGGTGATGGTGACGATGGGAAATTGTTAGTGTCAATCCCAGGTAAAATTTGATGCATACTTTTTGGTATTAGTACTGACTGATCCAATGGTAATTTTTTTGATTATCCGTATCTTTCTTAAAGCCAAAGCTATTTGCATGAAGCAAGTTAACTTTAAATACCCATCCAAGGGGAGATCATTAGACATATAAATTTTAAGACTTCATGACTTGCAGTGCGTTAAAACTGCGGCTACGATTTTAAGCTAAAGAAATCGGTTCATGTTTCCCCATAGAGGAATAGAATTAATACATATACTCTAAAGAAATCTCCCAGGCACATCTTTTTATATATGTAAATGATAATAAATTTTTATCAACGTCCAACTATCCTAAAACTGTTAGCGACACGTACATGTACGAATGCATAAGTAAAGATAACATTCTTTTCTTTGATTATGTTTTTCTTCAATCTCAACGTACATGCATCAACTTTTCCCTCGACACGCAAAGCATATGATGATTACAACCATATTAATATTAATTAATATACATGATTTTAGTGGTCCCAGTTAATAATTTTTCGGGATAATCTAAAGAATTCTTTATGTTGAACACGTTAATTGAAAATTTATATCCGTGATTTTTGTGATGGATTTTCTATGCAAAGGACATGCTATCATCCTAGAGTGTGAAGGGTGGGATTTTAGGATGCTAGTGAAGACCTGACAGCATTCTCTGACATAACTATTTCGACTACTAAGTATGATCAGGATTTAAATATTAATTTGATACAAATGAACGAACGATCTATCTTTTATTTATGAGCTCATTTTGCGTTCTCAATTGTTTTTAAATGTAATTTTTTTAATTATGTTGTCAGCTAAAAAGTAAAAGTTTTCCCAATCATACAATTCGGATGCGAATTTAATATTTAATATTCTATTTTTCATCATTGCAATTGTATTTATATTTTTTTTAATCACTTACTGGCTATAGTTTTTTGTATTAAATATTAAATAATAATTTATCTAGCCAAAGTTTTCGCCTTCTGTCGATTAAAATTAAAATTAAAATATTATTGGTTAAATTAATATCTTAGGTTAATTATTAATCTTAAAGAGAAATTATTATTATATATAGACGAGGAACAACGTTAAATTTTATTGTGTAAATTTTTTTTTTTTAAACATTACAAACAATCTGCTTTTTTTTATAAATAAATCATATATATGCAATAAAAAATTATTTATAAAAAAGAAATAAAAAGAGCATTTACAAAAAAAACAATGGAAAAATAAGTAAATATATATAATATTTATATATATTTTTATATACAATATTTAATAAAAAGAAAAAAGAAAAATAATTATAAACATTGATAAAGAAGATTGTCGTGATAATTAAAAAAAAAATAATAATATAATATAAAATTTAATAAAAGTTCCATGATATTAACATCATGTTAATTATTCTAATGATGGTACTTGTGTTTGTAGTACTTGTGTTTGTAGTATTTTGGATAGTATTTCTTGTAGTATGCTTCAGCATCTGCGTCGGCATTTGGTTCAGCATCAGCTACTGGTTCGGGACTGGCATCACGTTTGTCGTGGTGGTACTTGTGTTTGTAGTATTTGTTTTTGTAGTATTTTGGATAGTATTTCTTGTAGTATGCTTCAGCGTCGGCGTCGGCGTTTGGTTCAGCATCAGCTATTGGTTCGGGACTGGCATCACGTTTGTCGTGGTGGTACTTGTGTTTGTAGTATTTGTTTTTGTAGTATTTTGGATAGTATTTCTTGTAGTATGCTTCAGGATCGGCTTCGGCATTTGGTTCAGCATCAGCTACTGGTTCAGGACTGGCATCACGTTTATGGTGGTAGTACTTGTGTTTGTAGTATTTGTGTTTGTGGTATTTTGGATAGTATTTTTTGTAGTATGCCTCAGGATCACGTTTAGAAACTGAAATTTTTTATAAAGTTATTATTATTAATACATTGAAATATTTTTAATTATTATTTATTTTTATATATTAAAAAAAAAAACTTACGAGATTCATCTTCGATATCTTCGGCTACTTCAGCTGTGAAGACAGCTACAACGAACATAAACATAAGAAACAAAAGTGTAAGATTAAGATTCATTTTGATTATTTCGTTATAATATTTTTATTATTATAATATTATTATTATTAATCTATTATTATTCCTTTTGGAAGTGAGGATTTAAAACACGGAAATTCAAGGTGTTTATATACAAAATTTTGATAATAGATAATTTATAAATCATATTGAAATCATATATTTACATCATATTGCGATAATAAAATAAGTTTATTCATTCCAAATCCAATTTATTCATAGAAAATTTAAAAGCCACGAGAATGAAATTACTTTAAAAATAAATGATTAATTCATTGATTTTAGCATAGCCTTCTTCATACTATTTTAAGAATAATTTTTGATTAAAGAAAAAGTCTTCGTATTCACGATTTTTGACGTATATGTTGGTTACATCATTTACTCCATAATTAGGTATTTTATGATATTACCCTTTTAGCTTTTAATTGGTAATTTCATTTTGTTTTCTAAAATAATAGATAATTTTTAAAATTAATTTTCATTTACCCCAAATTTTAAATTTCTAAGCCTCGTGAATTTACTCTTTTAATTTTATTTACATATTTATTTATTTATAAACAATGTGTAGGAATTTTTTACCAATTCTATGGAATTGCCTATTATGGTAAAATTTTATGAGTGTGGCTCTGCAACTATTTGCTTTTTCATTGTGATTGGCTATAAATAGAAAAACTGGAAATTGGCGACTTTTAATTAAAAAAAATACGAAAAAAAGGGAATAATAATAGTAAATAATCGTTGTAATTTACTCAAAAAGAACGGTATGAAAATAGATTATTTTTCAATTGGGAAATTAGAATAAAATAGTCATATATATATATATTAGTATATGACAGATATAGAATCAACAATAAACTCGATTATCAGCGATGGAAATCAATCAACAACTTATTCAGGTATAAAATTGGTTTTTCACAATGATGTTTATTTTAGAATAATGTTATCAGAATGTTTATTTGATTGTAAACGCATTTTTTTACTTTTAAATGCCAAGAATCATAGACGCCAGATAACGATAAAATGATTAATAAACATGATTTCATACATATTACCATTATATAGTATATCAGTGTGAGTAAATTTATAATACCTCCTCACCTTGATACAATCTTGATATATATAATTTGGATTGTAACAAATAATAATACACGTATTATTATTAGCAATCCCATTTGATAACCAATTTGTTACCCAAAGTTAAAACTATTTCAAGTCGAACTCATAAAAACTTTGGATAAAAAGTTATGTTCTTGTTGTGAAGTGCTTAGGAACCATACTTGATAGAATTTGGAGATGAGAGTTATTGCAACAAATCGTATGCGAGTCAAATACGTCTATACGATTGCCGCTCGAGAAACTTTCCCATTAATGTATTATTATTATATATAATTAAATCGTACTACATAAAGAAGTTATTAATAGCCATATTCAACTTTTCTACAAGTATTAGTAGGACCCTGATGATTAGAACCGTCTGTGTTCATATGTAAATTACCGTATTTAGAAGGTTTCACAGGATTATGGCATTTTTGCCGTGTTGTTTGGACACCACCATTTTGGTTAGGGTTAGGTGGTGCTTTACTGTGGTACAGCACCTCTTGTTATCATTGTTGCGCTACGCGACGAAATCACAAAATGGAACTCAAACTCTGTTTATTGTACCGTGTGAAAATGAAATTTGTGAAATTCAAATTGGCCAATCAGAATTACATATCCAAACGCCTGCATTAAATCAAAATTAAAAAATAATAATGGGCAAATGATTAATTCTTTTTATTGTTGAAAAAAAAACTACAAAGTGTTAAAAATTATACAAGTATATGAAGAAGAATAATAAAAGTAACAAATATAATGAGTTTGAACACAAGGGATGTTGATTATTAACAAAGAGATGAAAAAAACAATAAAAGAGAAAATATTGATATTAACATTTTCTCAAAAATATTGTTTTTAATGACAAAGTAGCCAAAATTATGTAATAAAAAATTGAATTGGAAGATCTTTAAATTATAACATATAAAATTTTTGAAGCATATTATTATGTATGTTTTAGAGCAATTATTAAAGAAATTTACATATTGAATTGTTTTTTTAAAAAATAATTAAATTCTTTTAATTTCCAATTGACAAAATCTCAAGTATAAAAGGTTATATCCCTTTACAAAGTTTGCATACTTGAAAAATACTATTATACCACTCAAGTAGAAATTAATTAATGTTTTTTGAGCACATTTCAAGTGTAATTTAAGCACGTTTTAACTATTGTGGTGGGAGACACTTGAAACATTCTCTTTTCTTGCAAATTTAAGCATGATTTTCTACTTGACTTATTTATTTCATTCTTAAAATTACATTGTTCATTTATCAAATGGACATTTATTTTTTTAAATTTTATGAATAGCAATAATGATGATAATAATAATAAAGTAATAACTAATTTTTTTCTTTAATTGTTGTGTGAAAAGAACCCCATTGTTTAACTATGAAACCATTTTGGAAGAAAGAAACATCAATACAACGTTATATATATAATAAAAATTTATTATTATTAGTGATCATCAAAGCATAACGCAGTAAAGTAATAAACCCATTTTGGTAAGGAAAGAAATAGTATATATTAATATTAATAATATCAGTCGTGACATGTCAGAGTGTAATTTCATGTGAAATTAAAATTTCAAATCCGTGTAACAAATCGGGATTTAAAAATATCTCGACTTTCTAATAATAAACTTGAACTTCACTATTAAGATAAAAAGAAACTACACCATTTAAGCT